GTGTGTGTGTGTGTGTGTGTGTGTGTGTGTGTGTGTGGGCGCAAATGCTTTTATGTCTCTGTGTGCCCTGCGGTTGGGTGGCAGCTGGTTCAGGGTGTCCCTTGCCTACTGCCCGTAGGCAGCTGGGAAGGCTCCAGCATGTCCCGCGACCCCTGTGTGGGTAAGCGAATAATAACATGGATGGATGGATGTGATTGTATTGTACAGGCACAAGGACCCAGCATCCCCTTCAGGGCGACAAACCTGCAAGTCTTGTTTGTCCCAACAGAGGGAATCAAGAGCACATTCGCGTACAAGCATGGACAAGTACGCTGTTTCTGCGTTGGTTTTAGCGCTCAGTGCATTTGTGCAATTTCAACCGGTTTTTACTCAGGATTCTCTCAGTAAGTTCTTGATCATTTTCTTTGCTATTTTTAGTCATTTAAAAACATGACACTCTTGGATGATTCAAGATGTTTTGTTTTGTTCTTTCACTCAGAGATTCACCCAAAACCAGGCGAATGTTCCCGTAATCCTTTATTTGCACCATCAAAAAGGGGATGTGTGAGTGACCAAGACTGCCCTGGGGACCACAAGTGTTGCGTCTTTGACCGTGAAGCTGTCTGCATCCCTCCTTCTTTCAGTACGAATTACAAACTTGTTTTCCTGTTGGAAGTCAAGAAGACTTGTGTGCTTCTCTGCGACACACCCTTCCAAAACATTTTATTTGTGTGGCACTTTCACAGCAGGTGTAGCTGTAACAACGCGGGTTTACAGAACATTTCATTAAAACCTGCTCATTTCGGGATCTGATTTTCAGATAAGCCTGGAGTGTGTCCGAATAAAGTGGGGGTTATGGCGCATTGTGGAAACCACTGCTTTGATGACAGAGACTGTCCTGACGAGAAGAAATGCTGCCACAACGGGTGCGGATTTGATTGCTTGGTACCTTTCAAAGGTTAGCTGAAGTGACTTTTCACTACCCTGCGACCGCATTGTTCCCTTGGGTACATTTTGCTCTGTAACCCTGCCCTCTTATGTGTTTTGGTGTGTCAGTGAAGCCGGGCCATTGCCCACCGCCCCAAGGACCTGCCCCGTGTGCAGAGGAGTGCTCCCATGACAGTCAGTGTCCAGGTGATCAGAAATGCTGCCAGACAGTCTGTGGTCACGCCTGTCATGAGCTCGTCTGAGTTGACAACAATCAACTTCATGACAAAAATATTTTCCTTCAAAATGTGCCCTGGCTAAAATAATGAAAAAAATAATAAAGCTGACTTGACTTGGCATATACACAATCTTTTCGTGTAGTCTTATTTTATGTGCAAGAAGTCTCACGATTGATGCTGCCAGAGATGTCATATGGGTACTCAACAGTGTACAGTCTTATTTTATGTGCAAGAAGTCTCACAATTGATTGATGCTGCCAGAGATGTCATATGGGTACTCAATGTTTATTTATTAAAACAAGAAGAGGGAGAAAAGTTCCATCAGAAAGCACATTTGGTGCAAAACTTGCCAAATAAATCATACAAGTGACTCACTGTGGGAACCCCTGATGGGATGAGACAAAAGTTACAGCAACTGAATAAAATGTGAAGTCTGTTGTGCATGTTTTGAAAAAGTTCAGCTGATTAGTTGCAGCCCTCAAACGACTGCCGCCGTCTTCCTGTCAGGCTATCGCTCCATGAATGGGCAGTCATAGTCAGTACTTTGCATGTAGCTTGCCTGGCCAAATAAAAGCTGAATACATATCACCATAAGTGCAAAAAGTAAAAGAGAGCTTGATTGGTAGAGAGTCCCAGACGACGGTATTGCTTTTCACAAATGCATACTAAACAGCAGTGCAAACAAAAGGATAACTGCAAATAAATAAAGCATCAACCATTTTGCCAAGGCAAACAAACTCCGTTGTGTCGCAGTAATGCACATGAAGACCAAGTGCTCAATGTATCCACTCGTGCAGTGATTCCCAATAATTGGACAATTTCACTTAATTGGTCCAGAATTTATTTATTGAAGAAGAAGAATGTGGTGTTTTTGTCTGGTGACAGGCTGAACAATTAAAATGCTCTTCCACCAGATGGCAGAAAGTGCAATTGACATGCGAACCAACTTGTTGCCATTCACACAGCAGAAAAAAAAAACTTTGTGCGCAACTCAATGGGCCCAGATGAATTTCACATTGAAAAAATAAATTTGTGAATAAATGGAGACACGATCATCATTTCAATGTAGCTATTTTTTGTGACATTTTGTCTGATTGTAAGCAGTGATATTTTTTCACGTTGTTTTAGAGCAGGCATGTGTGAACCAAAACTCTAAATTGTTCCTAGGGGTGTGTGTGTGTGTGCGTGTGCCAATGGTTGTATGTATCTGTGTGCCCTGCAGTTGGCTGGCAGCCAGCTCAGGGTGGCCCCCGCCTACTGCCAGAAGGCAGCTGGGAAGGCTCCAGCATGCCCCGCAACCCACTTGAGGATCAAGTTGATCATCAAAAGGATGAACGGATGGATGTGATTGTATCGTACAGGCACAAGGACCCAGCATCCTCTTCAGGGCGACACACCTGCAAGTCGTGTTTGTCCCAACAGAGGGAATCAAGAGCACATTCGCATACAAGCATGGACAAGTACGCTGTTTGTGCGTTGGTTTTCGCGCTCGGTGCATTTGTGCAATTTCATCCGGTTTTTACTCAGGATTCTCCCAGTAAGTTCTTGATCATTTTCTTTGCCATTTAAAAACATGACACTCTTGGATGATTCAAGATGTTTTGTTTTGTTCTTTCACTCAGAGATTCACCCAAAACCAGGCGAATGTTCCCGTAATTATTTACTTGCACCATCAAAAAGCGGATGTGTGAGTGACCAAGACTGCCCTGGGGACCACAAGTGTTGCGTCTTCGACTGTGAAGATGTCTGCGTCGCTCCTTCTTTCAGTACGAATTACAAACTTGTTTCCCTTTTGGAAGTCAATCAGACTTTTGTGCTTCTCTGCGACACACCCTTCCAAAACATTTTATTTGTGTGGCACTTTCACAGCAGGTGTAGCTGTAACAACGCGGGTTTACAGAACATTTCATTAAAACCTGCTCATTTCGGGATCTGATTTTCAGATAAACCAGGAGTGTGTCCGCGTCGAAAGTGGGGCTATGGGCAGTGTGCCGAGTTTTGCTATGACGACAGTGACTGTCCCAATGAGGAGAAATGCTGCTCCAACGGATGCGGACACGAGTGCACGGTCCCTTACAAAGGTTAGCTTAAGAGTTTTTAGTGCCCCGTGGCCGCATTGGTCCGTTTGGTACTTTTTTGCTTTGTAACCATGCAATCTTTTGTGTTTTGGTATGTCAGTGAAGCCGGGCCGTTGCGCTCTGCCCCAAGGAACTCCCATGTGTGCAGAGTACTGCTACCATGATGGTCAATGTCCAGAGGAGCAGAAATGCTGCAGGACAACCTGCGGTCACGCCTGCAGTAAGCCCTGCTGAGTTGACTACAATCAACTTCATGACAAAAATACAGAAGGAGACAGGAGAGTGTTTTTTTTAATATACATTTTCCTTCAACGGTGGTTACAGGGTACATCAAAAGTATTCAGATCATACAAATTTTGATATTTAGCTCAAATCATTTCCTGTTTGCTATTTTTTAAAAATAAATGTGCTACAAATGAGAAATGTGTTGCACGATTACTTCCCGAAGTATGCCATCAATGAAAACATGTTTACAGGAATGTTGCAACACTCCAACGTGATAGTATCTGCTTTACACATTGGACCAGCACATCTCATAACATCTTCAACACAGCGATCACTGCTTTTCATCAATTACACGGGCACATCAGCATATTAATCACACAGCTATCTGAAGCCTGCTCTTTATGAAACACTTGAAGAGGAAACCATTTGCAGCTGATCTCCCCTGCAACTCCCTTCTACATGGTGACCTCTTGTGTTTGTCTGCCCCATTGGAGTTTGCTTGTACAGTCCAGTCTAGTCCATAAATGAGGGCAGTCAGAGAGAAGTAATCCAGCTCCCACATTGATGCACTCTCCAAAATGTGACCCTCTTTTCCTCAGGTCATCATAAAAATGGTCATCTGATCACTGTAAACATATTTTGCCTCTCACACAGGTAGCACAATAAGAAAGAGATTTTTTTTTCTGTCTAACATCTGGCGAACTAAGAACTTAGTGGTGTGGTCAAAGTGTGCAAGCCAACATTTTGGATGTGCAATCAACCTGGAAGATGCATTACCGTAATTCAAATGGCAAGTGGGTAAAAAATAGAAGCAGGCCGCTCACAATACATGTGTTTTGTTTTTAATTTTAATGTAATGGAAAGATGAATTCCAAAAAACAGAATAAGATGACAGCAGTGAAAATACTGTCATGTTTTGGTTGACCTTATATATACACAGGACATCCACTTCATTAAGTACAACATAAGTACATGAAAAAAATAATAAAGCTGACTTGACTTGGCATATACACAATCTTTCAGTGTACAGTCTTATTTTATGTGCAAGAAGTCTCACAATTGATTGATGCTGCCAGAGATGTCATATGGGTACTCAATGTTTATTTATTAAAACAAGAAGAGGGAGAAAAGTTCCATCAGAAAGCACATTTGGTGCAAAACTTGCCAAATAAATCATACAAGTGACTCACTGTGGGAACCCCTGATGGGATGAGACAAAAGTTACAGCAACTGAATAAAATGTGAAGTCTGTTGTGCATGTTTTGAAAAAGTTCAGCTGATTAGTTGCAGCCCTCAAACGACTGCCGCCGTCTTCCTGTCAGGCTATCGCTCCATGAATGGGCAGTCATAGTCAGTACTTTGCATGTAGCTTGCCTGGCCAAATAAAAGCTGAATACATATCACCATAAGTGCAAAAAGTAAAAGAGAGCTTGATTGGTAGAGAGTCCCAGACGACGGTATTGCTTTTCACAAATGCATACTAAACAGCAGTGCAAACAAAAGGATAACTGCAAATAAATAAAGCATCAACCATTTTGCCAAGGCAAACAAACTCCGTTGTGTCGCAGTAATGCACATGAAGACCAAGTGCTCAATGTATCCACTCGTGCAGTGATTCCCAATAATTGGACAATTTCACTTAATTGGTCCAGAATTTATTTATTGAAGAAGAAGAATGTGGTGTTTTTGTCTGGTGACAGGCTGAACAATTAAAATGCTCTTCCACCAGATGGCAGAAAGTGCAATTGACATGCGAACCAACTTGTTGCCATTCACACAGCAGAAAAAAAAAACTTTGTGCGCAACTCAATGGGCCCAGATGAATTTCACATTGAAAAAATAAATTTGTGAATAAATGGAGACACGATCATCATTTCAATGTAGCTATTTTTTGTGACATTTTGTCTGATTGTAAGCAGTGATATTTTTTCACGTTGTTTTAGAGCAGGCATGTGTGAACCAAAACTCTAAATTGTTCCTAGGGGTGTGTGTGTGTGTGCGTGTGCCAATGGTTGTATGTATCTGTGTGCCCTGCAGTTGGCTGGCAGCCAGCTCAGGGTGGCCCCCGCCTACTGCCAGAAGGCAGCTGGGAAGGCTCCAGCATGCCCCGCAACCCACTTGAGGATCAAGTTGATCATCAAAAGGATGAACGGATGGATGTGATTGTATCGTACAGGCACAAGGACCCAGCATCCTCTTCAGGGCGACACACCTGCAAGTCGTGTTTGTCCCAACAGAGGGAATCAAGAGCACATTCGCATACAAGCATGGACAAGTACGCTGTTTGTGCGTTGGTTTTCGCGCTCGGTGCATTTGTGCAATTTCATCCGGTTTTTACTCAGGATTCTCCCAGTAAGTTCTTGATCATTTTCTTTGCCATTTAAAAACATGACACTCTTGGATGATTCAAGATGTTTTGTTTTGTTCTTTCACTCAGAGATTCACCCAAAACCAGGCGAATGTTCCCGTAATTATTTACTTGCACCATCAAAAAGCGGATGTGTGAGTGACCAAGACTGCCCTGGGGACCACAAGTGTTGCGTCTTCGACTGTGAAGATGTCTGCAAACCTCCTGCTTTCAGTACGAATTACAAACTTGTTTCCCTAATGGGAGTCAGACTTTTGTGCTTCTCTGCGACACACCCTTCCAAAACATTTTATTTGTGTGGCACTTTCACAGCAGGTGTAGCTGTAACAACGCGGGTTTACAGAACATTTCATTAAAACCTGCTCATTTCGGGATCTGATTTTCAGATAAGCCTGGAGTGTGTCCGAATAAAGTGGGGGTTATGGCGCATTGTGGAAACCACTGCTTTGATGACAGAGACTGTCCTGACGAGAAGAAATGCTGCCACAACGGGTGCGGATTTGATTGCTTGGTACCTTTCAAAGGTTAGCTGAAGTGACTTTTCACTACCCTGCGACCGCATTGTTCCCTTGGGTACATTTTGCTCTGTAACCCTGCCCTCTTATGTGTTTTGGTGTGTCAGTGAAGCCGGGCCGCTGCCCTCTGCACCAAGGAACGTGTGCAGAGAATTGCTTCCATGACGGTCAGTGTGCAGGTGACCAGAAATGCTGCCAGACAGCCTGTGGTCTCGCCTGTTCTCAGCCCCTCTGAGTTGACAACAATCAACTTCATGACAAAAATATTTTCCTTCAAAATGTGCCCTGGCTAAAATAAAGGTTGGAAAACATTACAGGTGTGTGTATGTTTGCAGAAACTTAATTGTCTCTACGACAGCAAAGGCGGTCTGTTGTGATCTCGGCTTGGGCAGGAATGAGCTCAGAAATTCTGCTTACCTGCTTGCTTATGCATAAACATAGAACCCCATTTATATTTGACTGAAACCGAATTCAATTTGAATGCGCATGCTCATTGAGGGCAGCACGTGAGTTACGCATGCGTCAGCCACTCGGAGGAGGAGCTAAACACCGACAGTCCCCGCCCACAGTTGGATGACATCATTGAGACAGAAGCACTTTATTCAGGTGGGTGTCGTCATTGAACTACAGTGCTTGGCGATATACCGTTGTATTCATCAAGCTTGCCAAAGTTAACTTGCCACGAGTCTGTTAAACGGACTTTAATCAGTTTTTTTATACTGTTGTGATATCACTGAAGTGTTTGGTGCGACCCAAGGAGTTTTTCTGAAAAGCAGGTGTGACCAGTGACCACACGCCAGGAATGGCATCGCTCATCACGTGGCCAACAATTATGTCGATTCGTCTGGCAGCGCTCGCTCATGTTATCGAATGTAATTGTTTCTTTCCATCATAACCATCGAGCACAATCATCTCTAAATATAACGTGGTTAAAAATGTTAACAAAGTTAAATTTTTTTAAACTTATAACGCTTTAAAAAAAGCATCATTTTAATTTAAAATAATGCTTCCTCAAAATAGAGCCTGTTCTAAGTTGGAAGCCAACATGATTCGCTAATTTTGTTTAACCCCTGAGGCACTAAATTGGACGTTGATGAGTCGCCATATTGTGTGTGTAAAAGTGGAATATTCGACAAACATGCATCGTTAATGTCCGTCTTGGAGACGTAGCAACTGTTTGACAGTCATTTGGTGAGATTGTACAGGATTAAGACAACAGTAAGTTTTAATTGGACAGTATCTGGCAATGATTACAATGAAAACATTTTTCGAAGACAATTTGCTCATTTTATGACTCAATAATTGTTTATGTCAAATTTAGTTTGGAGCAGACGTTTGTGACGTTCTGTGTGCCCTGCAGTTGGCTGGCAGCCAGCTCAGGGTGGCCCCCGCCTACTGCCAGAAGGCAGCTGGGAAGGCTCCAGCATGCCCCGCAACCCACTTGAGGATCAAGTTGATCATCAAAAGGATGAACGGATGGATGTGATTGTATCGTACAGGCACAAGGACCCAGGAGGTTTTCATGAGGTCTCTGGTCCACTGGAGAATGAAGATTGAGTCTCCTCTTTTATCAGTAACTGCTTCAAACAAGGTGTAAGCAGAAATAAGAATAATACATTTCATTTATAAGCGCCTTTCAAAACAATAGTTACAATTCTATTGTCTGTGTTTTATGTTATGTATTTTTTTTTTAAATGTTAAATGTTTTGTAAAGCCCTTTGTTACAGCTGCAGCTGTTGAGAAAGCGTGGCCCGGTGTTGACTCGTTAGCACGTCGGCCTCACAGTGCAGAAGTGCAGGGTTCGATTCCAGCTCTGGCCTTCCGATGTAGAGTTTGCATGTTTTCCCCATACCTTTTACTTCCACATTCCAAAAACATGCATGGCAGGTTAATTAATGGAACATTAAAACCTCCTGCTTTCAGTACGAATTCCAAACTTGTTTCCCTAATGGGAGTCAGACTTTTGTGCTTCTCTGCGACACACCCTTCCAAAACATTTTATTTGTGTGGCACTTTCACAGCAGGTGTAGCTGTAACAACGCGGGTTTACAGAACATTTCATTAAAACCTGCTCATTTCGGGATCTGATTTTCAGATAAGCCAGGAGTGTGTCCGGATACAACAGGGCAGTTAGGGTATTGTGCCTTCCTCTGCTTTGATGACAGAGACTGTTCCGAACTGCCCTCTGCCCCAAGGAACGTGTGCATCGAACTGCTTCCATGACGGTCAGTGTCCAGGTGACCAGAAATGCTGCCAGGCAGCCTGTGGTCACACCTGTTCTCAGCCCCTCTGAGTTGACAACAATCAACTTCATGACAAAAATATTTTCCTTCAAAATGTGCCCTGGCTACAATAAAGGTTGGAAAACAGCACAGGTGTGTGTATGTTTGCAGAAACTTAATTGTCTCTACGACAGCAAAGACGGTCTGTTGTGATCTCGGCTTGGGCAGGAATGAGCTCAGAAATTCTGCTTACCTGCTTGCTTATGCTTGACCACGACAGGATCCTGTCCTCCATCTATTTTCAATCCAAGTGTGTTAACATGTCCTCAAGTGACACACACAATCCTGGAAACATGTTTTCCAAATAAATATATAAAAAATAAAAATCAATCAGTTCCTCCCTGAATTGGGCGCATTGATCAGTGGCTTTAACTAAAGGAACAGAGTAGAGCGGGCCTGTCGCCCTGCCATTTTTCAGAGTGGCGGCACGCCCCGCATTTTCCGAATTACGTTGGCAATGCGTTTGGCCACTCCCGGCCTTGGCTCCCCTATCTGGAAATTGCGCGTGAGCAGGTTGAAGAGGGATCCATAACCCACAGCCACTACAGTGCAGGTCAGGCAGATGACATTATAAGGCATGCTAAAGTCTGGTGTGGGCAGGTTGACCAGCAGAGGTTCTGTATAGAGGCGCACAAAGTAACTGGTCTCTTCTTTACTGGGAAAGCTGGAGGCAGATGTGATACTCACATTAGAGGAGAACCTTACGATTTTGTAGAGTCAGACATCTGACAAAATACTTACAAACTGTTGAAAAGAGGGCATTCGTGTGTGGCGTTTGTATCCATGGCAACAATGCTCGGGACAAGGGAACTGACAACAGAGGACCTAAACACCAAAGAGAGAAATGAGTCAGATTTTTTTAAATGCACATACATTGTCAGCAACACTGTTGAAAAAGCAAACGTGATGGGGGGGGGACTAACGAAACGAAAACAAACCCGACATAGAAGCCATGATTCGGGTCAGGGGGGTACTCTGTCCACTTGAGCAGAATTCTGTCAAAATGCACGGTGACTTCAGTGACAGAGTTGGGGGGAAGTTGCACCAGCATCTCCAGCGTGTGCGGCTTCACACGGTCCTTGGACGGCTCATAGTGGATGTAACCTGACGGCAGTGGCGCGGCAGAAAGTTAAACATTGTCACGATGAAGGCGTTTACGACATACAGCGGACATTTTGCGGCGTTGGTGCAACAGACAACAAATATGTTTGATAAATATGTTTTTTTGATACAATTTAGTTTCGCTGCCTTATCTTGAGCTGCTGGGCGCGTTTTAATGCACAGCATGTTTGCACTGAGGATTGAGAGGAAAGAAATTTCATCTGTGCTGCATGTTGTACATCGAGCACATTTGACAATGAAGTTGATCTTGACCAAATGCGCATTTGCTTTGACAGTTGGATGGCTGTGATGAGTTGAGATGCCAGGCAAGAAATCAAAAAGGCCTATGATGTCGCAAGGAGGAAGCTCAACACGAGGATAAATCGGATACCAGAGAGTTACATGAGGAGTCATGATTTTATGAAACGGGACAATTCTCGGGCTCATGTCAGAAAAAAAAAAAAAAAAAACAACCTCAAGCTCTCTATGTGTTGAGGACAACAGACGCATTTCAGAATTTGAAGTCGGAACCGTGTAGAATTACTTGGGACAAGTCGAGTTATCCCTGGGTGTTGCCATTTACAATTTATGTCAAGTACAAAAGGTGGCAGGATTTGCCAGGATTTTTTTTTAATTCAAATTTAGTTGCCACTTTGTCGTCAAATCAACAATCATGAAAATTTGCCGCATGAATAACTGGTTCATCTTGAGTCGCCAGCTGAAGACTTGAGTGAGTGACTCGTGTTGCTCTTTACTCACTGGGCCTGTTCGTCTTCCCCTTGCTTGTGACGCTGAGGGTGTGTATGTAGAGACGAAGGTACCAGGGCACCAAGTCCAGCAGCAGTACGGGAAACGACCGGTAGGGGTGGTTGTTGTACATCAGCGTGTGGATCTCTCCAGACTGCAGCCTGTAACCCGCCACGTAGCGCTCAGCGTGCAGCAAGGGGCGCAGCATGTGCGCTGCGGGGGGGGGGGGGACAAAAAAAGGTCAAGGTCCTTCGGCAGTCTCATATGTGAGGAATTTTTACAAGGAAACACAAGTGCACACAAACGGTTAGTGTCTTTTCCCGTTGTCTCCGGCTGGTTTTCCGACTCACCATCGCTAGATTTCCAGCGAATCAGAAGGTTGAGAGAGGACGTTGTGCCAAAGGTGCTTTTTTGGGTCAGGTCGTAAACGGAGAAGGTCCGCCTGTCCCCGAGCACCACTGCTTGCCTGAGCAGAGGAGTGGCGGGGCTCAGCACAAAATCCTCCCCCTGCAAAATAACGAACGTTACTCCAAAATGTGTGAAGAAAGGATTTTTGTGTTTGACCAGATTTATGTGCGCCGTTAAAACCTCAGAATTGTCCGAAACGTCAACGTAGATTTTACTGGAGGAAGCCAGAGGGCATGCCTCCGTCAAGGTCCGGGAGAACATCTTGAAAAGAGACCACTCTGTGGATCAGAGCAATGGAAGCCACACGTTCAAATATATTCCTTCAGTGGCCGAGAAAAAACAAGCAGGGTGGGCTTCCTACCTCGTTTGCCTTGTCCGGAAACGTAAAGATCAAATACTACGTTCAGCGTCTGTCTCAGCTCCCATGAGGTGGTTGCGCATTGTGCGTCCTGACACACGGGTCGAATGTGCACTGCCTGGGAATGAAAACTGCTGTGGAAGAGTTTCTCGGACTTGAGTAGGACAGCGAGGCCGGCCTGGGGGGAGCAAAGTGCCAACGTAGAAAACAGATGCTGATGTTGGGTAGAAACACGCAAGACGTCGTTGAAGAAACGATGGGGATGGCCCTGTGGTGGGATGTAAGACGTATTATTGAAGCCTTACCTTGGAGCCACATGGCAACAGTTTCTTCCAGGGTGTCAAATTTTCTGTGCAAACAGTCTCGCGTGGAAGGGTGGCGTAGCGTAGGAAGCGGTGGTCGGTCACTTTGAGGG